GAATGTTTTTATCTGCACTGAGTGTAACAGATTTTGTGATGTACATTTTTTTTTTGGTTTGTTTTGGTTTTTATTTTGTTAGCGCATTAACCTGATTAGTGGCGAATATTTGTGTTTTATTGAAAGAAGAAAAAGTCATATGTACAACAAATACATATATGTTAATATATGAGTGTACATTTATGAACAAATCTCACGAGTTGTTTCTTTTCTGGTATTACTCCCTTCTCTCGCCGGAACAAAAAATGGCGAAGCATTATTCTTGCATTTATTTCAATCAGTGGAGTTCCACAAGCAAGTACAATAAAAAATAAATCAAGTATTTTAACCATTTTAGCCCTAAAACGTTTATTTAGGCGAAAAAGTACCAAAATCATTAATTTTTTAATGTCACTCGAAAGAGTCGTATTTGTTGCTTTTTTAAATAACTTTGAAAAGTTTTCAAATGGAATGTTCATATAAGAGGCAATGGAAGTTCGCATCAAAAACAACATATCTGTGAAGTTTGAAGAGTGTGCCAACAAATTAAAAAAAAAAATAGCATGCAGTATACTTATCTGTCGCAGCTATTTTGTACTACTGGGAGTATACGCTACCTACACAGCTACGGGTATATAAGCACGTGTTGTTATTTTTAGCCTTTTTAGTATATATTTTTTAAGTTTTCATTTAAATACAATTTCTCGATGGAATGTTTTTATTTATGCAAAACTGAAGATAATGCATTGTTTAAGATAAGTGTGCCACTACTTTTGACCAATAAAACGTACATAGGTATGTGTATTAAAACGATTTGCGAAAGAGAAGGTTAGCAATTTAATTAGTCCATTGGAATTTTTAAAATGAATGTTTACCCTAAAAATTACATACACTAGGGTGGTGCTTAAAAATATCATAATCTAAATTTTGTATGGAACAGCTACCCCTTTAATTTGCTGTACATACAAAATAAAAACAACCACAAAATTTTAACAAATTAAAAATACCTTTTAAGGGTCGCTATCAGAGTTGGAAAATTTATTTTTTTTTTTTATCGTAAAAATTTCACCAAATTTCGTTTTTGACCAGCTATACTTCAAGGAGTTTCGGCTCGATCAAAACACGAGTGTGTCGTTTTACGCGTATTTAAATTGTTTTTTTTTTGTTTTAGTATTTTGAAATCTTCGCGAAAGTCCTCATTTTCTATGGAACCTTCAGACTTTTGCGAGCTATGAACCTTCCTAACAAACACACATATGTACATATTATAAAATTTTTCGGTCTACGACCTTTCTTTCTACTTCTAAAGCTCTAGTTCCCTTTACTGACCTACACCCAGAAAAAGTGAATTGAAGTAAATAAACATGCGTTTATTGGTTTATTCTGCTATGCCATTCTTCAACCATTTATTTATTTGGCTTTGCGACTGTTTATGAAGCGTGCGAAGCCATACAAATTAATTAACTGGCAAGTTGCATGCTGTGTTGAGAGGAGCTAATGCACTTTTCGGCCGTTGCGGTGTGCCGGTGCCAGTGCCAGTGCCAGTGCCAGTGCCAGTGCGATGTGTCGGCCGTGGTGGCAATGGCAATGGCTGTGGTTATGGTTGCGGTTATGGTTGCATGTAGTTGTGGCACGCAATGAAAGTGCAACTTGTTGTCATACAAAGCTATTTTCTCTGCGTTCACACATTCACACATACATACATATTTCTAACATACGCAGGTCTTCTTTAAAGTATGCGATGCTTCTTAGCCTTTCTTTCACTGCTTTCGAGCCCTTCATCTACATATCTTGTCACAGAAGCATACGCTCAAATGCGCCCGTAAATGCAGTGTGTATGACTCATTCGTTGTGTTTTTTTTTAATGAGTGAGAAATGTGCGAAGATAAATAAATTAACTAAATGAATTGTTTATTATTGCCATAGCAATGTTTTGTTATCCTAAGCGCAGCTGCCACGCGCATACAAACATATTTAGCATGGCAAATATGATAGCTTGAGCTTAGGTATGAGCGTGTATATTTACATACTTATGTATATATACAAATATACAAACAAACATTTTCATTTGTATATATGTATGTATGTATGTACGTACATATATACGTAACATATATGCCCTGCAGTAATTTGGACTAACCTTGGGGTAGCCTTCAAGTGGTCCATATTCTGTACCAGTCTTGGTTACTATTCCCTTGTGGTTTCAACCGCCATTGACGCGTCTTTCGAGCAGGGCAAGATGTCCCAATAATAAAAAAACGTCAAGTCTCGCAGAAATTGAGCAGCCTAATAGGGCTGATTCCATCTCATTATCCTCATGGCAGCTGCGAAAGGTGTGATCCTAGTATTACTACGAAGTGAATTCTAATCCTTTAACCGCTCCCGATTCACACATCGCAGGCTGTGCGCCAACCGTTTAAGGGTAAACCACAGGAGATCAGATGTGCCCTCAACTGCTACCCATCTGGAGATAACGTTTTAAGTCTACCTTTATGTGTCAAGTCTCCAGCCATGCAAATGCTTCCAATGGCGCGGAACCCAAATTTGCCTAATAATTCCCAGAGTATTTACTTTCATTCCCTGAGTAGTTGCGAATGCAGCACTATAGCGTGCAGGGCGCTGAGAGCCGCTTGGATATCAGAATATATGTTTACCTCACTAACTGTCATCAGTCTCTTTAGCGGTAAGTCGACTGCTTCTTTAATGGCTACCTGAATTTAGTTTCGATGGATCCATGAAAATTATCTCTGCTCTCTTCCTTCAGTCACGCTGCACAATTATCCCTTGAGGCTACTTGGTACCATTTCAGAGACGCAGTAATCAGAGATGAAATTGAAACTATCCAGAACGCCAGCACATTAAGTCTTCGAGCTTGTTAACCAACCGGTTTTCCTTGGTCTGAAAGAAGTTTATGCTGCGGTAGTTATGCTTGCGATATCGACAGCCGTTAAACGCCAATGTAGGAGTGGTTCATAGTGCCCTGATAATACCTATTATACCTTTGTATACACTTTTAGATGCTTAGCTAGTGTGTGAAATGGGCTGGGAAAACCGAATAGACTTAGCTATGGTTTCGTAGCGCCAATAAATTACTTTGGGTCAGATGCCAACTTCTCTTACCAATGGCTCTCCCACAGGAGTATACGGCAACCAATGACTTCCTCAGGCTTTTCTCAATGTTTGGCTTCCACGTCAGCTTCATGTCCAGGATCAGGCCTAAAGACTTGTCCATGTCAGAGAAGTGCATATGACCTCTACTATGGTAAGAAGAGCCACTTCGGTGATTTCAAGTATAGGTAGCCTAAATCAAAAAGGGTTAACATATGGAAAGGATTTTTCGATTTTACAGTCAAACTTATATCAGCACGTTAAGTGTTGCGATTTTCAGATTGTTATCTCTAACGTTCATGTATATAAATTGAATCTTCTATGTAGATAACAGCCTTAAGGCAAAGCGATTATATTTCGGGGCTGGCTGTTAACTGCTAATTTTTTAACTGGTAGTACTTTTTATGGAATCGCCCAGTTTTTTACTGCAGGGTTGGCTTGCATACACGTACTTGGAGATATGTGCATACAAACATAAGAGACGATAATGGGAAATATGCTGTTGTTTGCATAGCAAATGGAATTTCATTTCGATTTTTCAAAAATTGCGTTTATGTTACTTTGTAACAGTTTCGTTTATTTTCCAACAAAGTTTTTAAATCTAGCCTTGTGACTGATGTCTAAAAATTCGTTTTCAGAACCTCACATCAGCGCAGTTTTTTGTCAAGTGAGTGAAAAAACATAGTCAAAGGGGCAAAAATATATTGTATAAACAGATTTTCACCGAAAACTTTGTTACCTGATCGATTACTTGGTCAGAATATTTATGGTGCCAGCAATAATTAACGAGAAAAAAAAGAAGTTTGCTGAATATTTTATTATCGTTTTGTGTTGTAATTTAGGGCCCAGCTTGGGACTAATGAGAATCACATGTGGATTTCTTCATTCTAAAAAAGCACGCAGCTCTGAAGTAACTAAAACCAAAAGTCCAATGTTTAATAGGTTGCTCCAAAAATGAATGTGGAAAAAGTAAAGTCGCTTCCTAGGATTTTTCTATCCCGGAAAAATATCCCCCAGAGTTTTTTTTATTTCGAAATCCAAAAATATTTAGAGGTCGGTCAAAGGGACTAGATGGATATTCATACGGTATACCCACTCACTTAAGGCTTGGTACTCTTGCCGGATCGAAAATTTTTTAAGAGGTTCACATGGCTCTTTTGGTTTGGCTTTCCTAAGTGAGGACTTCAACTCAGGGGCTGTACTTAAATTTTCGATCTCCTTAGAGAAGAGAATTCAAGTACTATTTCGACTGCTGAGTGGAAGATCCACCCATCTCGGCAGCCAGTTCGAAAACGCCCTATCTCAGATGGAGATTCAGAAACGCCCTAACTCAACACATTTTCCATAGGGCATTTTTGAACTTAATTCTGAGATAGAGCGTTCTTCAACTAAATTCTGGGACCAGGTGTTTTTCAATAAAATTCTGAAATAGGGCGTTCTTGAAAAGTTTTTTGAGATAGGGTGCCACTAGAAATCCACAGCGATTGGTTGTTGTTGTTGTAGCGGCTTACGCAGCGATTTGTCGTAAAGCTGGTTGATGAACACATGTCAGAGAAAGGGAAAGAATAATTGAAGCTTGTAAGTGTGGGGGTCACGATATCCACGAAAACATAAAAATCGTACTCACAGCAGAAAAACAGAGAGGGCTGCGAAGAACTGATACATAGCTGAGCTATTAGAGGACCTCGCAAGTATTATTGTCTGGCTAAAGATATAAAGCAGAACTAAGTACTCTTGCTAAAAAGTATATAAGTTGAATCATGTTGCAAAAATATCTCCTCATGACCACCCTTATAATGCCAAAGGAGCGAAGATTACAGCTATTTTTTAGTTAACTTTATAAGATAAATATAAATTATGCTTACTATCTATAACCTATTAGAACTAATATCATTTCTTTTCTTTATTTTTAGTTCAACGGCCTTGATATTATTCATCCTGCTCTTCTGTGTTCAATCCTCACACTCCAGATTTGTAAGTTGAAAGTGTTTATTATACTGCTTGGCTTTAAATACATACGTACATACGTAGTTTCCGCACAAAATTAAAAAAAAAAATAATAATAATTCTATGCATATATTTCCGTTGCAGTATGGAACGCGACAGAAAAGACAATATGGCGCTAATATGTACTTACCAGCGAGTTACATTGTGCCCGGCGGCGAGGGTGATGACGCTGATGAATGGACTGACTGGAGCTCACCATCAGAGTGTTCACGCTCATGCGGTGGCGGCGTATCATTTCAAACGCGCGACTGTCGAAGACTTGCGTGAGTCCAGCTTCTGTAATTTTCAGAACCCACATAATGTTAATATTCCATTTCCCATCGCAGACCCAATGGGGCGCCGCTTTGTACGGGTGGCAATCGCAAGTACTTCTCCTGCAATACCCAAGACTGCCCCGAAGAGGAGCCCGACTTTAGATCGCAGCAATGTGCGCGCTTCAATCGTGTACCCTTCGATGGCGTGACCTATGAATGGGTGCCATACACGAACGCACCCAATCCATGCGAGCTGAATTGTATGCCGGTGGGCGAGCGTTTCTACTATCGCCAGAAGGCGAAGGTCATCGATGGTACACGCTGCAATGACCGTGAACTTGATGTGTGCGTGGACGGCGAATGTCAGCCGGTGGGTTGTGATATGATGCTGGGCTCGAATGCAAAGGAGGACAAGTGCCGCAAATGCGGTGGAGATGGCAGCACGTGCCACACGATAGCGAATACTTTCACTGCCAACAACTATCCAGTTGGTAAGTAGCCGTAGTCGGTTGATTTATCTGATTTAAGTATTTTTTTTGGTTTGTTGTTTTGGTTTTTGCTGGCGGTGTGATTTATTATATTTCCCTTAAGGATACAATGACATCGTACTCATTCCCGATGGCGCCACCAATATACGCGTGCAGGAGACGGCACCCTCGAACAACTATTTGGCCTGCCGCAACTCATCCGGACATTACTACTTGAACGGAAATTGGCGCATTGATTTCCCGCGCCCAATGTTCTACGCGGGCTGCTGGTGGAATTATCAAAGAAAGCCGGCAGGTTTTGCCGCACCCGACCAACTGACGTGCAGTGGACCGACAACGGAGTCAATTACAATCATGATGTTGGTGCAAGATAAGAATGTGAGCATAGATTATGAGTACAGCATACCAGAAACGATACACAATGCACCGCCAGTGGAGTACTCGTGGACACACATGGAATTCGAGCCGTGCAGTGTGCCCTGCGGCGGCGGTACACAGTCTCGTACGGTGACCTGCAACAACCGCATGACTCTCGAAGAGGTTGATCCCAATTTGTGTGATGCCAGCGCTAAGCCCGAAGAGGAGCAAGCATGTGGCGAAAGCCCTTGCGCACCCCACTGGGTCGAAGGTGAGTGGGGAAAATGCTCGAAGGGCTGCGGAGCCGATGGTGTTCAGAATAGGACAGTTAGCTGTGAACGTATCTCGCCAAATGGGTAAGTTGAGGCTATTGAAAATGTATAAATTTACGAAATGATATTAATTTTTATCTGTTACTGTGAGGGTAGTGACCGCACAGCAGAAGAAGACTCAGTTTGCCTGAAGGAAGTGGGCAATAAACCAGCCACACAACAAGAGTGCAATAGAGATGTGAAGAACTGCCCTAAATATCACTTGGGACCTTGGGCGCCGGTTAGTTATGATAGCTCGCTATACTTCATATTTTCTATTTTCAACATCCTAATACTTCCAGTGCGACAAATTGTGCGGCGAAGGTAAGCAGAAGCGGAAAGTGACTTGCTATATTGAAGAGAACGGCCGTAAGCGTGTACTGCCCGAAGAAGACTGTGTGGAAGAGAAACCACCCACTGAGAAAGAATGCATGTTGGCTCCTTGCGAGGGTGTGGATTGGATTATTTCCGAATGGAGTGGGGTAAGTACGAAATTTTGTTTAAAATTTGCTCTCTATTTCATTTCTCCTTTCACAGTGCGACGAATGCGGACAAAAGACGGAAACACGCACTGCCATTTGCGCAACCAAATCAGGCAAAATTTATCCTGAAGAATTCTGTGCGCCCGAAGTACCTGCACTGTCGCGGCCATGCGAATCGTCGAAATGTAAGCCAAAATGGTTCACCTCGGAATGGAGTACGTGCTCTGCCGCGTGTGGCAAGGGCGTACAATCCCGTATCGTTATATGTGGAGAGTTCGATGGTAAAAGTATAAAACCTGCTGAAGACTCCAAATGTGAAGCCACAGCGAAGCCAGAAAGTGAGCAAGAGTGTGAAGGCGAAGAAAAGGAGTGCCCTGGTCAGTGGTTTACTGGACCTTGGGAGCCATGTAGTAAACCATGCGGCGGCGGCGAACGTAAGCGTGAAGTTTTGTGCTTAGCAAATGGCACAAAGTCGCTCAACTGCGATGAATCTAAAATTGAATCGCTTTCTGAAAAGTGCAATACACAAGCCTGTACTGAGGATGAACTTCTACCAGTTGATGGTACGGCGGCGCCGATAGCGGAAGATGCGAGCGAGGAAGAAGAGTGTGACGAGGATGATGAGGGATTGGATTTGGAAACAAAGGAGGACCTGAAGATCTCCGACGGCATTGAGTTGGATGAAGAGGCTACTACTTTGTCATCACTGATTACTGATGAACTAATGCTAAGCGATTCACCGTCTACAGGAGAATCGAGTGAAGTTACTTCTACAGACATTCCATATAGTACCGTTGAGGGATCTGGCGAAGAAACGGATATCACTGAGGAAACTACACTTGTGAGCGAAGGAAGTGGTGATGAATCCAGTGCGACTACCGGAATTTCGGATACCACTGAATCTGGTTCAACTGAGGTATCTTCATCTGAGCAAACGCCCGAGGGATCATCTGTTGAAACAAGTGCGTCGCCTGTATCTACAGATTCAACTGAAACTTCACAATCACCAGAATCTACCGAATCCACTGAGCCGGGTACTACCGATGTTTCCACATCTACCGATATTACTGAGACTACGGAGTCTCCTCAGTCGACAGAGTCATCTGCATCACCCGAGTCGACAGAATCGCCTGCATCGGAAGCAACCGATGGGTCTAGCTCAACGGAAGTTTCAGCTTCAACTGACTCTACCGGATCTCCCGAATCGACAGAATCCTCAGCTTCACCTGAAACTACGGAATCACCTGTTTCCACTGAGTCTACAGTTAGTTCTTCAGACGTCACCGGTTTGTCTGAGTCGACCACGGAATCAAGTGATACGACAGGATCTTCAGAATCCACCGAATCGTTGGCCACAGATTCCACGCAATCGACAGATTCTACGGAGTCTGTGTCTACTGACACGACTGACTCAACTGAGTCTACCTCTACTGACACTACAGAGACTACCTCCACTGACACTACAGAGTCTACCTCTACTGACACTACAGAGTCAACAGTTTCTTCATCCACAGACATAACAGAATCAACTAGCGAACATTCCACGGAATCAACCGACTCTACAGAATCGTCAGTGTCAGCTGATTCTACAACAGGCTCCCCTCTATCTACAGACTCAACAGAAAGTACGACTGATTCCTCGGAAACAACTGATACTACTACCGATGTTTCAACTGACTCCACAGTTACTGGATCGGATGTCACCACAGATTCAACTGGTTCTGAAGCGACAGATTCCTCATCAGACATTTCCGATATTACAGAAACAACTGACGCCAGCTCAGATTCCTCTCTTAGTACCACTGATTCTGGTATATCGGAAACCACAGATGACACGGATTCAACAGTAACCGCCGAAAGTGACGAAACCACAGTGTCCTCGAGTGACGTTACCGAAACCTCGGGATCTACCGATGTTTCAGAATCAACCACTCTGGGCTTAACTGAGGAAAGCACAACTGAGGGATCGACTGAGTCAACAACGGAAGGAGTATCATCTGAGTCAACATCCGAAATTAGTTCAACAGAAGCATCTACTTTCAGTACTGAGACTAGTGAAAGTACAGAATCTTCATCGTCAACTGATGTATCGGAAACTACAGAAATTGGATCAACTGAAAGCACTGAGACTACAGAAAGTAGTCCCACTGAAAGCACAGAAACTACAGAGAGTGGGGCCACTGATGAAACGACCATCGAAGGATCAGGTTCAACGGTTGATATTTGGTCTACTACAGAAGAAGGTGAAGATAGCACGCCTTACACGCTTGAAGCACTTCTCACCAAATCTCCTAAGCAAAAGAAATGTAAGGCCAAGAAGGATTGCAGAAAAGCAACATATGGTTGCTGTCCGGATAAGAAAACGCCAGCCAAGGGTCCATTCGATGAGGGTTGTCCTATTGTTAAGACCTGCGCTGAAACCAAGTACGGATGTTGCTCGGACGGTGTTTCACCAGCCGATGGCGCCAACAACGAAGGCTGTCCCAAATCACTGTGCGCTGAGACATTGTTCGGATGTTGCCCAGACAACTACACGCCCGCTGAGGGAGAGGACAATGAAGGCTGTCCTGAAACGACGACTGCACCACCAACTACGACTGTTGAAGAGGTTACAGAGGGATCTGGAGAAACAACCGAAACACCGGAAAGTACAATATCACCAGAAAGCACAGAAATTCCAGAAAGCACTATTGAGCCAGAAAGAGAGGTGGTCAAATCGTGCTCCTTCGGAGAATTCGGTTGCTGTCCAGATGGCACCACCGAAGCTAAAGGCAAAGATTTCGCAGGTTGTGAACCAGCAGCACCAGATACCAGATCGTGTGCACAAACACCAAATGGTTGCTGTCCAGATGGTCGCTCTGCTGCTGCAGGCCCTAATTACGAGGGTTGTGCCCCATGCACACAAGAGCCATTCGGTTGTTGTCCAGACAATCAGACCCCTGCTCACGGACCACTGGGTGAGGGTTGTTGTCTGAACGCGCCATATGGTTGTTGCCCGGACAATATTAACGCTGCACGTGGACCAAACTTTGAGGACTGCGACTGCAAGTACACACCATATGGATGCTGTCCCGATCAGAAGACGGCAGCACGTGGACCCGACAGTGAAGGCTGTGATTGTGAGAAAACGCCCCACGGTTGTTGCCCAGATAAAATCACGCCTGCAAGTGGACCGAAATTTGAGGGATGCGCATGCCATACGCTACAATTCGGTTGCTGTCCCGATGGCCTTACAATTGCACAGGGACCACACCACTATGGCTGCCACTGCTCACAAACCGAATTCAAATGTTGCCCCGATGAGAAAACGCCTGCCAAGGGACCGAATGGTGAGGGCTGTACTTGTTTGGAGAGCAAATATGGCTGCTGTCCTGATGGTGTTACAGCGGCGGAAGGTGAGAAATTCGAAGGCTGCGCATCGGTTAAGGAACCGCCACAAAAGGCATGCGGTCTGCCAAAGGTTACTGGACCATGTGGTAACTTCAGCATCAAGTACTTCTTTGACACTTCGTATGGCGCATGCGCACGCTTCTGGTATGGAGGTTGTGAAGGTAATAATAATCGATTCGAAACCGAAGGTGACTGCAAGGCCACCTGCCAAGAGTATAGCGGCAAAGAGGCTTGTTTCTTGCCCAAAAGCTCAGGGCCATGCACGGGCTACAACAAAAAGTGGTACTTTGATTCGGAACGCAACCGTTGCGAGGAATTCAATTACGGAGGCTGCTATGGCACCTCGAATCGATTCGATAGTTTGGCCGAATGTCAGGCACTCTGCGCCATTGATGAAACTACACGTAAGTTGAGACGGGAACGTTTATTAGATGGATTTATATTGGACTGTTTATTTGTAGCACCCTGCGACCAACCCATGGAGGCCGGTCCCTGCGAGGGCAACTTTGAGCGTTGGTACTATGACAACCAGACAGATGTGTGCCGTCCATTCCGCTATGGTGGCTGCAAGGGCAACAAGAACAACTACCCAACCGAACATGCCTGCAGCTATCACTGCCGACAGCCGGGCGTACACAAAGGTTTGCTTTCAGTATTTAAGTTGTTAACGAATTTGGTGTTGGTGTTTTGCATGAGTTTGCTATATTGTAAGACTTCGATCTAAGCTTGAAAGCATGACATGGAACGCGGTATGAATTTAATAGCGCTCTCCACGCGGATGAAGACTTTGGTGTCGGCGCGAACCGTTTATAAGATATTATATAGCATTAGCATTACTTTATGTTTTATTTATTTTATATTTTTCCTTTTTTATTTTGGTGTAACGGTATGCTAAATGTTTGGCTTTCCTTTTCTCACACTCGTTATGTTGCATGTTTGCTTGCTGCTCGCTCTACTCCTTTCCCGCTAATACCTTACCGCACAAATGAAAATGCGCTATCCCCCTAACTACTATTACATCAACTACACAATACACTACGTTACACCCCGAAACACACACATACCCTGTTGCCGAAATAGATTATTGCTCGCTTCCTAAGCAACCCGGTGATTGCAGTGAACAACACGCGCGCTGGCACTACTCGGATGCGGACAAGAAGTGCATGCCCTTCTACTACACAGGTTGTGGAGGCAACAAAAATAATTTCCCATCCCAGGAGTCGTGCGAGGATCATTGTCCCAAGGAAGTTGGTAAGGCTGTTGTAAATTATTATACTCATATACACACACGAACACGCAACCACCACCCACACATGAAAATACACATTTACATATTTGTGGCAGCCGTCGCTTTCATTGTTGTTTCAAGAAGATGTTTCCATATCATCGACATTCCCATTCAATAACGCCCTATAGTTGAATTATTTTTTTATTCTCACACTTTTATTCCTTTTCGTGTTAATGCCTTAAATAGCCAAGGACACTTGCGAGATACCAGCCGAGGTTGGCGCTTGCACAGATTATACTGCCATGTGGTATTACGACACCAAGGACGAGCGTTGTCGTCAATTCTACTACGGCGGCTGCGGCGGTAACGACAACAAGTTCCCCACCGAAGAAGCTTGTCTGCAACGTTGCGAGAAGAAACCTGAGCCCGAAGCTGAACCAGAACCAGAACCCGCACCGGCACCAGCGCCCACCTCGAAGGAGGTCTGTCAGTACAGCGCAGATGCCGGTGACTGCCGTGCCTTCATACTGCAGTGGTACTATGATGGAGAAGCCAAAGCCTGTCGTCAATTCTACTACGGCGGCTGCGGTGGCAATGCAAATCGCTTCAATTCTCAGGATGAGTGTAATCAACTCTGCGCCATACAATCTCCCCCTGCTGCGCCTGCTCCTGAGCGCCAGCCAGCGCCACAGCCTGCACCAGCGCCAGTAACTGCGAATGTTTGTGAAACTGCATCGGATCCGGGCGACTGCGATAACTATGAGTTGAAATGGTATTACGAGAAAGACGAGGGTCGTTGCACACAATTCTACTATGGCGGCTGCGGCGGCAATGAAAATCGTTTTGAGACCGAAGAAGCCTGTAATGCACGCTGCGTGTCACCACTGCCAGATGTTAATGTGCGCTTTGGCGAAGAGGAGCCGGCACCAGCGCCAGCACCTGTGCCGGATTCGCGCGAAGACAGGGGTTGTACGCTACAGCCTGATTATGGCCGCTGCTCCGACAACAATCAGACACGTTGGTACTACAATTACGCCGACGGGCTGTGTGACGAATTCGTTTATGGCGGCTGCGCAGGTAACCAGAATAACTTTAGGAGTGAGGAAGAATGTCAGGATCAATGCTTTGAGGTGCAAACGACCTGCTCACTGCCACCACTGCCGGGTAGATGTAACGAACATATTGTACGCTGGTACTACGACGAGCGCGATAAGCGCTGCTACGAATTCGAGTTCACCGGTTGTCGCGGTAATAGAAACAACTTCGTTACGGAGTCGGAATGCCTGCAATGGTGCGGTAATGAGACACCTCAACAGCCACAGCCAGGAACATCGGCGCCGGTAAGTGGGCGCTAAGAAATAGTTGTAGGTAAATTTCAGGTATTCAAATGCTCCACATTTCGCCTTTGCTTGCAGGTCTACTCGGTTTGTGATCTGCCTGTGGAGCACGGTGATTGCGACAACAGCACTGCGGCATGGTTCTACGATGGCGAGTCGATGGCTTGCACAGCCTTCTCGTATTCGGGTTGTGGCGGCAATGGAAATCGCTTCGAATCGAAGGAGCAATGCGATCGCCAGTGCGGCGATTTCAAGGGAGTCGGTGAGTACTCTAAGAAAATTTTAATTACTTACGCTGAGTGTTTTTTTGCCTACGTAAGAAATATATTTATGCCAATACTCAAACAAATATTTACGCCCGCTAGATGTGTGCAATGAACCAGTGGAAACTGGTCCATGCCGTCAGTGGCAGACTCGTTTCTATTACAATAACGCGTCGCGCACCTGTGAACCATTCACTTATGGCGGTTGCGAAGGTACCGGCAATCGTTTCGGCGAACGCGCAGAGTGCGAATCAGTTTGCATTTTAGGTCAAGAACCAAAGACGCGCGCACCTAAAGGTAAACATCGCTTGTGTGTAGTTAGTGTAGTCGGCGTGTTGCGGACGAATTTTTGGAAAAATTAATTTTAAATATTTTGTATTGACTTTTCTGAGTAGATATTTGTAAGCTGCCGGTACAGATTGGAAGTTGCAACGGTACGACGGCCTACGAACGCCGATACTACTATGACGACGAGCGCGGCACCTGTGTATCCTTCATTTATTCGGGTTGCGCTGGCAACCAGAACAATTTCCGTACATACGAAGCTTGCTTTGACTACTGTGCAAGTAAGCGCATGCCACACGTGACACATCACACATTTTGGCACAATGAAACCTCGACGCACCCATGCATCTGTACGCACCCATGCATTTAGCACTGATTCATACTATTTTACGCACTTTCACGAACTCCTATATTTCCTGCTGCACTGCATACGAACTTTGTTAATTTAGAATATCTTATTGGAATGCATAGCTTAAGTTTTCTCACCACTCTTGCTTGTTATCTACTTGTTCTTAGATTGAATGCACTTTCGTATCATTTCCATAATTGTCTTGCACGTGGTAATGGGTTTTCCTGTGGGAGTCCTTTGGCACATAAAAAAAATATATTTGCACCTATCTTCACCACCCACGCTAATCACTAACTCTTCTTTTCTTCCCACAGGAACCGAAAATACGCCCGAAGCCAACGAGAATGAAGTCGAACCCAACCCATGCGACACCTATGAGCATGAATGTCGTGCGCTGCGCTGTACATTCGGTTCACGCCGTGTTCCGGTGGAGAATAGTGATTGTACGCGCTGCGTTTGCGAGAATCCTTGCGAGCGTCACGAATGCCCCGAAGGCCAGCAATGCGCTGTCGACGTGTCAAGCGATGCATCCAGACAATTCATGCCCGTCTGCCGCGAAACCAACAAGACGGGCGAGTGCCCACATCTCAGTCAGCCAGAAGAGGAAAACTGCGGTCGCGAATGTTACACCGATGCGGACTGTCGTGAAGACAACAAGTGTTGCAGCAATGGTTGTGGCTTTGTTTGCGTGCGCCCAACGCAGCCAACATCCCGTCCACGGCCCCCCACTACACCTGCGCCAGCTGTCATCTACCCAGGTGATGTACAGGTTGCACTGGAACCCAAGAAACCGCAAGAGGTTGATGTGCAGGCCGCCGTTGGCGGAATCGCTGTGTTGCGTTGCTTCGCTACTGGCAGTCCACCACCGAATGTTACATGGTCGCGCAGCAATGTGCTGGTAAGTACGGCGGGGAAAAGCTCGAAATTTATGGCCTTCACTATGCTATCAATTTACGCATGTTGCGGTTGAGTTTATGTCTGCGTTAGTATGAGTATTTTTTATTTACGCGCTCTGCCCGCAGATCGACACCAATCAGGGACGATATGTTCTGACTGCCGCCGGTGATTTGACGATTGTGCAGGTACGTCAGACGGACAGCGGCTCGTACGTGTGTGTAGCGTCCAATGGCCTAGGCGATCCAGTGAGTCGCGCAGTGCAGCTGGCAGTGACAGGTTTGCGACTATCTCTATTTTAAGCACGCGGTGTTGGTTATACTAATATGGTGCATGTGTTTTTTGTTTTATTTACATTTTTTGCATGTTTTGCATCTGCTAATGCTTGTCTTGCCTTGTCTAACAAAACGCACTCAAATAAAAAAAAAATGCTTGCTTCTTATATGCATTCGCAAAAACGTAGAGCCAAAAGAGATACCCGCTTACGTTTATGGCGAAAAGAATGCGACACAAATTGTTAGCTTGAATCGACCAGCGCAGGTGCGTTGTCCGGCTGGTGGTCATCCTGCGCCGCATGTCAGTTGGTGGCGTAATCGCAAACGTTTGGGCTTGATAAGTGATCGCTTCGAGTTGACGCGCGACTATTCGCTAATGTTCCGTTCCATACAATTGACGGATCTCGGTCCGTATACTTGTGAAGTTTGGAATGGTTTAGGTCGTCCGACGTCCATGAAAGTCGTGCTAAAGGCAGTGGGGCCAGCACGCGCCGTGACGAACGATGAAGCGCCCTATCTGCAATATATCATAGATCCAGCACGCGCGCCAGTCACTCAACGACCCTCGTATCCATACCGCCCACAACGACCACAGCCACCACCGCCACCAGTGTATGTCGCACCACCGCGCCGACCCCAAACGAGTAAGTACGATGGGCTGCATGTGGGCTAAATGCTTGCTGGGGTTCCTAGGTTAATCGTTAAATTTGTTGCATGTGTTTAAGAAGTTGCTGTCTGTGTAGAATATATTTAGGACCTTAACTAATTCGTTATTTTCGCTTTGCACAATTTGCACAGTGACCGCGCAAGCTGTGCTTGCATTGGATCCCAGAAACACCTATAGCCCGGGCGCGTCCATTGCGATGCAGTGCTCGGTGCAAGGCTACCCCGCACCGAATGTGACCTGGACAAAGGACTCGATACCGCTGCAGGCGGACGAACGCATACAAATTACAGTTGAGCCACATACGCTGGTGATAAACAATGCCACACCCGAGGACACTGGCATGTATGGTTGCACGGCGAGAAACTCCGTGAGTTATAACACCAGCGAAGAGCGCGTCACCATTGAGTGTAAGTAGTTTCTCATCTTTAATGCAGTACGCTAGTAATTATTGTAAAATTTTTTTGTTTTCTGCAGCCACGATACCGATCCATCCGGATTGCGTAGATAATCCATACTTTGCGAAGTGTGAGCTGATTGTCAGCGGTCGCTACTGTGGTCATCGGTACTACGCTAAGTTCTGTTGCCGATCATGTACGCTAGCTGGCCAAATAACGTATCCACATCCGAATGCCGTGTAGATAGAAGGCTACCTGAGTGAATATTTAAGCGGTCTAGAGCGTGCTTGATGCTTTACTCTACGAACATGTATTTTTTAGCTGTCTTTTTGGCGACAGCGTTTGTGCACAAATCAGTTAAAATTCCAAAAGAAAAAAAAAAGAAAAATAATTAACAGTACTATTAACATTTAATCGACGCACAAATTTAGCAAACTAGTACTTTCCGCTCTAAAATTAGGTATTAAAAAAAAATAAAAATAAAAAATTGAAATGATTTTCACACTTTACACGCACACTTTTAGCTGACTCAGCTCGATCAAAACGAGCTGCAAGTTTTCAGCTATCCTCAGCTTAATCACAACAACAGCAACAGCTTCAAAGTTTTTCGCTCATGTCAACACATACACAAACACACGCACAAAAAATGCAAATACTAAGAAGAAGAATAGCTTTTATACATATACAACTACATACATACATAAATTTATAAAATAGAATTTTAGTTTTTAATTTGTTCCTATTTATTGTGTCCGTTTGTCCGGTTCGGATAAGGCAAACACATGCATGCATACTACATACCGAATAACTGTAAATATGTGTGCCTATTTAGAAATCGAAGGTCACACGCACACACACTTACACACACACAAACCAATGTACTAATACTCATATAAAACGATCAAGAAGGATTTTACTCATAGACGATTTTCTGAGTTACCTTTTTGAAATTAATTTTAATTTAAACGATATGTTTTGTAATTACAAAGTGCCTTACGATTTTATTTTTATTTTTTAATTGTACGTAAATAGTAGAGATTTGTGCATTGATACATATGTATGTATGTATGTATAAGCAATCTAAAAGAAAATGTTGAAAAAGTTTTTGTAAATAAACTAATGATGTAAAAGAGTATAATGATGTAAAAGAGAGTTTTGTTTTCGAGAATTTGGACTAAAAATTTAGAATGAACTCAATAAATAAGTTGAAAACATACAGTTTTTGCTTGTTTGGCGGAGGATGAATTGATCACAAGATTCACATACAGTGGATTCATGTAGATGAAGACGCATATCATATTTCTTTTTAGCAAATCGTTAGATTTCGGCTGGCAAATATTCACATATGTACAATACAAAGCGAATATTGAAATAATACCAAATATTATAATTTTGCGGCGGAAACATAGGAGCAGTTGTTATCCAGTACTTGTCGGCAACATTAAAAATAGTGGGCCGAAGTTATCTACCAAATAGCTGTTAATAGATTCCCTTAACAAAAAAGTACGCCGTGCACTTAAAATGTTTGTTATGGCAATGCTGTACGCTTGGAAAAATCAATATTTTCACAATAGTAAAACTTCCCTTATACGCTACGCGTACAGCTGTTGGTGATAACAGTGTGGACATGCGCAGTAACCCAGCTGCATTGGCATTCTGTCATATTTAATGCCATTGTAGCCACAGAAGGAAAAGCAAATTGCATTCAAACAAAAGATATTCCCATTTTAGAAAATTGATTTGCCAACAAGTTCAAGGCGACAAAAATGCCTATGATGGAGGATAGCGGCATCGATAGTGAGGACAAGCAATCGAATACCTGTGAAGGATCTCCAGCGGTGAGTACTATATGTAATTCTAATCGTATGTGCATATTTACTTATGTACATACATAAATACATACGTTTTAGACAATGGAAATATTTGCAAAACATTTGCATTCATTACAGCAAGTGGCACAAAAAATGACAGCACCAGCAACAACAACGACGATTGAAGCATGCGATACGTCAGCGGTTAGCCATATGGCTGATTTGGATGTAGTCTTCCGCGGCGGCGGCGGCGGCGGCGGTGGCCAAGTGTTGACAGCGTCAACGTCAGCGACAAGGACAACCGTCACCAATGCAACAGCATCAGCTGGCGATAGCGATGATAGTACAGCGAATAGCGCACAGCCAGCATCAAACACCTGTCGCATCCTGCAGCGCAAGCTGGAGCTGAAAGTGGAGCGAGCGAAGCGCAACTACAGCCAATACCAGCAGCAGGAACAGGTGAGTTGACAAGTTTTAAATACGTTTTTGTAGTAAAAGCTGGCATATTGATTTGGTTATTTCACTTTCGCATTACAGGTACGCAAATCACAATCTGCGAATCTCATACCAATTAATCGGTTGCCCATACCAGGCGATTCGGAGCAGAAACCACTTGTAGATTATAAGTCCGATAGCAGGTTTGTAAAAATGATGACTCTACTATAATTTCAATTACCTACATACGTACGTTCAACACGAAAGATCGATATACAAATATTTTGTTTCTGCTTTGCAGCGAGGAGCCAGAGGAAATTTCTTTTTTTCCTGCCAAAGTGAAAAATGCGCATCGGCAGCGCAAAACGGAACTCAGCGACACATTTAGTATACAAGAAATGACTATAGAATCCGATTTGGATTCCGATGATAGCGGATCACAAAATCTTGAGCTGTTGCCACCGCTGCGCAAGTCGAATTTTCTGGAGAAAGTTAAAATCTGTTTCGGTTGCAGTAATCGAAGAAGTTAACTGTGGAAACTTTAAGTAGGCGACAAAATAGTACTCAAAATAATGCAATAAATACTGTTGTAGCCAAAATGTACACAACTACCACAAAAGAAAATATACAAGCATATACAATGTATATATGTATATGCACACATACAAAAGTGCATATATTGTGATTTATTAATAACTAAGTGAATCTGTAGTCCCATTTTAAGGGCGTTTTAATTTATTGAGGGATTCAAAAGGTATCCCAACCGCCGTGTTTTCATAACCGGTAAATCACATTGTGAAGCCCCTCATTATTTGCAGGCTTGATGTTGTCACGAAAAGGGGGTGGAGGGGGGAGGACCTACAGTTTACAACTGTTCTTCATCGGAAATTTGTCATTGCCTGCCGGGGGTGGGCAAACTGGGCTCGATCACAGATCCTAGGGAATGGGGTACCGCGCACTGCTAACCTCTATACCATAGCGGTTGCCGTATGTCATGACAACCATGTTGAATAATTTAATAAGTTTTTCAAAAAATGGTACGAATGGTACGAAGAACGTGGACAATATTCAAAATTGTTCGCGTGCACGCCGCTCATATCTCTCTCCATTTTGGAAGAATTCCGGACTGATGATTCCACCAAAGCAAGAACCAAAAAGTCAGTTTAGTTGAATGCAATGGTTGTTTGTGAATAATTTGTGTATTTTCTTCCCACCAGAATCGACAGCAAATTATTGCTTTGACACCACCGCACGACAATATATTTTAATAGATTTTTCTCTGTGACGTTACAATTTTTTGAAAGGATTTTGAAATCTTTAAGATATTGGGCCGTATGCATAAAAATTAACCAATTGTGTTTTATTAAAATATCTTTCACTTAACTTTATTTGAACAAATCGAAAAAAGGTCTGAAATTTTAAGAAACAAGTTCTTCCAGTGAAATTTAATGAGAACTGAAGTAGGTTGGTCAACCCAACAGGATTGTTAAGGTTCCCACCTGCGCTAAGCCATATTTTGCCAGTGCTTAGAGATATGGGCCCTTGATAAGTAGAGCTAGATTAGAGGTACCATAACCTCTTCTACCAGTAAGATAACTAAATCCGACCCCTTTCTGGCTAGCCATATCGTTCACTTGGGCCGTCTTGTTGCTACTATCCTCCGAGATGTCGGTAAAAAAAAGCGTTCAGAAAAAGCACTATCCTTTCACTCCTTCCTTGATGGCTATATCGTTCTGAAGTTTTTTCTTGAAGAGAAGCGAAGCCAGATGTAGTCTAATTTTTCTCTAATACTTGGATCATTGATAGAAAATGCCCATGCCCGTGTATTCATTATTTCCATAGAGTCATTTCCTTCAAACTCAGCAGAACTTTTCGCAGCATTCAGCTTAACAAAGAGATCGATATGGATATGGACTAACTGCTCCAGTAAACGTAATCCTGCATAGTGATCTTCGTACCTTCTATCCACAAAGCCAATAATCTGTAAGTAATATTTGGAGAATTATGGCCTTATCCTGGAAAACTAGAATTAAAAAAATGTTGTATCAAATGAAAGAGGACTGGAATAATACAGAAATAACGAACGAAGGTTACCACCTCTATTTATATTTTTTTTTTATAATTTAATACAAAAGAAATTCATATACCTGAATTAAGGTTTGTTCTATGGTAATTAAATAACATTTACCAATAGGTGACTTTCCTCGTTAAGATATTTCAGTTTTAAAACCATTTTAGTCCTTTTTAATTTGATTCCAAACTTGTTTAATTTGGATAAGCGGTTTGTTTATTATCAGGAAAGTACTTTTATTGCGGCCTTAAAAAATATTTGGCCAAGTTTAACGCTAAAAAAAAATGTTATTTTCGGTCCCTGGTTTAAATAAAAAAATGGGCAAGGCTTCAGAATTTGTATGTTCTATGTGAGATGTTCGAACAATTTAGGTAGCTAGACTTACTTCTGCATACCTGCTTTCGGGATCTAAACCACTAACTCGCTTAAGTGTGAGGCTGGAATTATTTTATGTTGAAAATCCACAAAATTACCAATAAGGGATCATTTAGAAGCCCTTATTTTTAATCTCTTGAGTCCAGAAACTCTAAAATGCTCTAATCAGTGAAAGCTGAGAGCAAGGGCGTAGCCAGGTAGAAGCAGAGGAAGACAGCTGTACCCCCTAAAACTTTCAAGACGAAGTGGAATTTTAAAAATTTTATAGTAAGTACCCACTGGGAAAATAGGTAAGCACCTTACGAGGTAAGCCATGTTTTCTTTCAGTTTTTAGTACCAAAATTGTCATCATGGCCAATGTCATCTACTAGTAAAGCACAAAATGAATACCTCCAACGACACATTACGTTGTCAGTTGCAAAGTAACGTGCAGCCGAAGTTATCTCCAAGCGCCGAACTACTCCGAGCGACTTCTCTGCATTACACGTAACTTACTTTGTAAAGCGGCTCAGAAGTATGTCTGATACCAAATGTACATTCTAAATTCCTAATTACATAAGGCGGCCATGCCTTTGTAAAAGTACGTTCGGCAGGGAAATGGCAATGACTGCCAGGTGAAGAGTAAGTTGCTAATAAGGTATTATTACGTGCTCCTAATTCCCACTGGGTAAATAAAAATATTGTTTGTGTGCGTAGCCGAGTTTGTAAATATACTCTCCATTTCCATATGAAGCCTGCGTGGAAAACAAGCTCAAACGCACCACTTATGTCGTTAGTTTGTCAAGCCTTTCATACTCACGACTTTCTACCCCCCTCCTTTCTTCTTTTTTTAAAAATACTTTTCCCCTTCCTCGCTTTTTTCTGTTTTTTTTTTTGGTTACCTTACCGGCCCCGAGCTTAGTGCAAAACCCTTTGCTGGAAGAGTTTCTTTCGGTATAAATATTAACTTTATCCCTTGTACATAAGATCCTGGCTACGCCCTTGGCTTGCAGCAAGTGACCCCTGGGAAGAGTGGCTACCTGCTTACTTCCCATTTCGGAATAATTTAAGGACCATTAGAAAACTTCGACAAAAAGCGAATAAGCTGACCGTGCCCAAAGAATTGAATTTAGGTTTCAAAACAATTTAAAATTAGTGAAACATTTAAAATTTTTCATTTATTTTGAGGCCTCCTTTTCCAAGAATTCGCGCAGAAAAAGGTTTTACTTAAAATCAGTCTCATATGTATATATTTATTAAACTAAAAGAAAGTCATAAATAACTGCACACAAATCTAGGAAATTCACGTCGCACACGTAATACATAAATAGTAAATTTAAAAGGTTGGGCAGAAAACAAAACAGAAAATACATACAATAATAACAATATATGAAAATCTTCAATCTCGATTGAGGGTGAGACAAACACCTTGCAATACCCAGTGGCTGATGTCCTCTGTTGTGGCCAGGTCAGCTTCAAAAACCAGTCCCACACCCATAGCATTTCGACGCAGCGAAGTGGTATAAACAGGTGCGCGGAAAGTATTCTGAATGAGAAGTTGACGAAAAAGGAAAAAATTCCAATAAAAAACAACAACAGTTACATGTTTAGAAAAGTAAAAATTATGTTAATGAGCAAATGAATGCGAAAAACAAAACGAAAGTGATTAAAAACCCCCCGAAAAAAATTTAACAAAATGAAAGCAGATGAGTGTTAAATGTTTTTGTGGTGAAAAAGAGGCAAAATAAGTTCAGAAAATGAGAAAATGTTGGTATATAAGGTGAGGAAGATGTTACGCTTTGGGGTGAGCCGAGAATGTGCTTAAAGGGACTAAGTGAGTACAGTGGACGGACGGTTCGGGAGAAGATGGATGGAAGTGTTTCCGGTAAATATTAGTAACTAATTGTCCCCTGTAGCTAATGTAGTAAAAGTTAGATATATTAGTTACATGTGCATATACATATGTAACTACATACATACATATATTCATGTAGGTACATACAGTGATTGCCGAAAGTATTTTGTATTGATTTTAATTTTTTCGATATACAAAATGTTTTTCATGGTACATTTTTTTGTTACTTTTTATAAAAATACTAGCGGACCCAGCGAACTTCAATTTTATTTTATTGGAACATTTTGGTCCAAAATTTTCACCAACAATTCACATTGACGACTTTGATTGATGGGTGGGTACATTTATTTGCTCTGTTTATGGTTTTGTGGCCGTCAATGATTTGTCGTTCCATAGCAAGCTTAATCACACACCGCTGATCAATTTCGATATCAGAGTTGCCAACGAAATAAATAGCAAGAATTTGTTCCTCGTCATTCGTTGCCGATGGTGGTGCCGAATTCGCGACGCATTTCTCGAAGCTGTTCATTAACTTGGACTCGTGTCTGAGCGATCTGACCTGCACGGCAAATCGCAATCATTTTTAAACTGCGACTGCGAGGACCGAAGTTTATTCTTCAAATTGGCGGCATAATGGTTTTCGAACACTGGAAAATAATTCGAATTACTTATCTTCGACGCAACTGAGATGCGTCTGTAAATCGGACCGCAAGGATTTACAACACACTCTAACCTAACCTGCATAATTTTATAGCATTGATAAAATTTTGAGCTTATGCAACCATTTATATTGTAAAATTATGATCTACATTAAAAAAAATTAAAAATTTCCTATACAAAATCTATGGAAAATAAATTTTTTAAGAATTTTCTAATTTTTGGGTATTTTTTTCAGTCTTTTCACTGTAAGAAGTTTCCTCGGACAGAGACAAACACAACACGGTAGACAGCTTACAAAGAACGATCCGTTCTAGAGTTGTTCTCGGCCTTATGTAGACGACTTTGTTTTATACATATATTTAGAGATTAAAACTTGTAGATAGTTGGCAACCATCAACAAAATTATCAGTCGGGCATTTAAATTCCTTTAATTCAATAAACGCCTTGCAATATTTTACTATAGATAATTTTACATAGATGGTAACCCTATTCAAAAATTGGTATTTTTTACCTTAAGCGGTGAAACTGGCCCTCCAAATGGTGTTTCATTTATTAAACCTGATGGAGTCTTATGGAAGATATTAAGCTGGATTGACAGGATACAGTGCTTTAGGATTTTAAAAACACTGTTGTTTTACTAAATGAGCAAATTTTAACAACGTGCCTACTTTTCCTCGTGCGTGGGCTTTTGCT